TCTCCAACCCATTTGCCTATTAGGTCTCTTCTATATCATATCCCCAATTTCTTCCGAACCTCAGCCTAAACCTTCTTTCACCATTCCTCATGATTCTCTCTTTTTCCTTCAATTAACCACTCATATTTTCTTATACACTTGGATCATGGAGTTTTTTTTTCTTATGTGATTCATCAATTGAGACTTCAAACTAATACTACCGGTGAAATAAAACATAGAAATTTATGCATTTTAAGACGAAAAGTAGATGTACTTTTGAAATATTGTTTTTATTTATTTTCAAATTTAAATATTTTTACGAGTATTTTTTTCGTAATTTTCTTTTGGTACCTTCCTCCATTCATGAAGCTATCAATTTTCTTCTTTTTAAATGAAACCATGTTTTGCATTTAGAAAAAACAAATTATGTTAGCTTACGTGTTTGAAAAAAACATATAATGGTGTGACTACCTACGAAATGATTAATAAGCACCTTACTTAAATTGATTTTCTTAATAGAAATTTAAGCATTGGGCTATTTTTATTTTAATTAATTATTAGGTTGTTCTTTTAAAAGTTTAAACCAATTGGGCTTGGGCTTGGACTTGTGTTTAATTTAATAATTATTAAGTGATGTGGAATTGGAAAGAGTTATTATTGGTTGAAAAATCTGAGTTGTATTAATCGAAATGTTTTGATTGGTTGATGATTTTAACGAGGTGTCAGTCCCAAAATACTCCAAAATACTGAGGTGTCAGCACTGGAGAGACTTTTGTTATTTTTATTGTATTGATTAGTGATTTGCAGAAATAACCATTTCTGATAAACTATTTAAGAATATAGCACTTTAATGTGCAAAATTTAGTAAATAACACTAGAGAGGGATGAAAAGTCAAGTAACTAAGGCATGAGGGCGCGCGTGTGAAGAAGAGAGTGACGCGTGATCCTTCACACTCGTTTCGGTTTGTGGAGAGAAGCGTAGGCTAGCATGGTGGTGGTGGCGATGGTAACGGCAACAGCTGGCGGTGGCGATGGTGACAGCAGCAGCAGCACTAGCGTTAATGATGGTAGTGGTTGGCGCGGTGGTGGTGGTCGTAAGCTTCATTATCATTGATTTAGTGGTTTCAAATTCTTAATTTTATTCTCATGGATCTATGTATCTAGTAATCCTCAGATTTACCCTTAGTGAGAAAGTGAAGATTATTGGACACAATCCGGCAAATATATTGTTAGTGGTGGTGAACAGATTTGACCTTCTGGTGAGAGTTTCCGGTAAAACTAAACCAAAGCAGAAACCATGAACGTGAAATTGAGAGGCTTGTGCAATTTTTGTTTTTGTCTGAGTGTGAAATTGAGTTTTGGTGTGCATTTGGACTCTGGAGAATGGAGATAGAAATGGAGATGTATTTGTGTTGTGTATGCATCTGGAAAGAGAAAAGGGTAAAAGAGTCTGATTTACCGTTTATACACACAATATCACTTTCCTTTTTTTTGTTTGGTTACTTACCTAATTTATAAATTTTTGTGGATTATTTTTCCAAATTTTCCTAAATTTTATCACCACTTACAAGTTACAACAATAATTTTTTTTTTTTTTTTATCAAATTAACGATATTTTTTTATAGTTGTGACCAGAATACTTCTACTTTAATAATTATCAAAACTAAAATTCTAAAACAAACATTAAAAATATTTATTAAAGCGTACGTGGACAATTGATATTTGATAGTTTGATATTCATTAGTTGTTTAAGAACTCACGATAATATTTCATAAAAAAATACTTTTTTTTGTTTTTAATATTTCCCAAAAGCAAGTGTAGAAATTAGAAAAGCACAGTACTTTTGAAATCCATATTAGTGATTTGATTACAAGGATGAAACATATATTTCCCGTTATTACCATTGGAGAAGCTCCACGTAAATAAAAAGTAGACAGTAAGTAAGAGTATCATTAGGAACAATTACGCACTTTTAATCAAACTAATGATGGGTTATATAGAGACATGTTTGTATGTGTGTTATATGGTTTGTAATTTGTAAATACATGCGACTATTTTAGGATGTGTTAGACCCACTAACCACTTCTAGTCTACTCTCTCTTTCTTGGAAAATAATATGAAGTTAAAGTTATCTCAGAATCTTGACCAATGTGTATTTTCCAAAATATAAGTCAAAAGATTATTTTTTCTCTCACGAGACCGTAATGTGAATTTGACCCAAAAAAAAGAGAATCACTGATTTGCCCACGTTGTCGTCTTTCACTCAATTTTCAGAATTCAGAACAAACACAACCAAAAAAAAAAAAAAAAAAAGGCAAAATGAGATGAATTAATGTTACTTTTTTCCTTCTCTTCTTGTTTTTTCTGTGTGGGGCAAGAGGAAGTAAAAAACAATGATGTCAAATGTAAGGAATTAATGATTTGGAATTGGACTTTGTTTGATAACAGACTCGAATTTACCGACTGGCCCTGCTTGGGCTACTGCAGCTTCAAACCCAATTCCTCAATTCAAAAAAACCACTTAATCGAACCGACGCGTTTAGCTTTCCTTTTATGTCAAAGCTAAAGACCAAAACCCCCTAGTTCCATTACAGTTCCCTTCAACAACGACATGGTTTGGTTCCTCGTACACCAAACTTAAACCACAATTCACAATCTGGCCTGCTCCATCTATTACTTTAAATTTGATTGAAGCCTCTTTAGGTAGGGCCGCACCTTAGTTATAGGATTTGAAACAATGGCCTACGATCTTTTTTCATTTAGAATCATTTAAGTATCAATTAAAAAATATTATTGTAACTTAGACTTACATATGGTAACAAAATATTTTTTTCTATATTCAAGTACAATTCGATTTTTCTCAAAATACAGTAAAACTTCTATAAATTAATAGTGTTAGAATCGTGGAATTCTATTTATTTATAAAGATTAATTTATTATAAATGAATAATTATTAAACTATACACAGTTTTGACTAATATTGTAAATCTTAAAAAATTTCAATTTGAAAAGACATTTTTTCTGTAGAAATCAATATCCTTCTACAACCAAATGCAAGTAGAAAGATAATTATTATCCATAGAATACAATAGAAAAAGATTTCAATGTCGTAAAATATTATAAGTGAACTTTAACAAGGATTAATGCATATTTGAGAAAAACAAATAATACTAAAATCATATTTTACTAAATTTTCTTACATATATATATATATATATAATTAGTTTATACAATTATTAATTTATGATCCTGATGAGACCATAGTTACATTAGATTTTCAAACAAATTATTATTATATTATTTTATCGAATTATGTTAAATATTACACTGATCCGATTCGGGACCGGAAAAATTATTAGTTTATAGTGATTATTAATTATCGAATATTAATTTATAGAGGTTTTTTTGTACAAACTATTCACAAGTCAAACTTCAATTTACAATTGTGCTCACTTCTTTTCTTCATCTAATCTATTTGAATGTTATGTAATTGCTAAATCATATTCACAATCACCCTAAATCTACTATCTTAGATTTAACTTTAATGAAACATGCATATTCAATAACTAATTCTAATTTGATTTTCAATATTTAAATTTGTCATGTTGTATCGTAGATTTATTGTTTGCAAATTGAAGAATTTATTTTAAACAACATAAACATTATCAATTAAATAAAAACATTATTAATAAACTCGCGTAAAACTAATCACAGCCCCGACCTTCATTACTCTATACACGGCTCTGTATGTAAGAACACATTTATGATGTTCTTGCGACTTCAACGACCCTTCTAGATGTTTTGTTATGTGTGAGCAACCGGTAACCGATAAACACATGGTCCAAATCAATCTTGTGTGGTTCGATCCAACCTCCACCAATAGTGCAACTAAAACGTATATATGTCTCAAGTTTGTTTTCGAACTCACATGTGCACTCTATTGAGAAACGGTCGATTTCTTCTTGATCGAGGGGTAGGTAATGTGACAACAGCACATAGAACTAATGTTGAAAGCCTGTTGTTACACCAATGTGGTGGAAACTTCATCTTTAATTTGGGTCCGAATGTTTGATGGTTAAACCATGAAGGTACTTCACTTCCTAGAAAACAAGTGACGAACAAAAACTTAAAACTACTACTTTAATAAATATTAAAACTAAAATTCTAAAACAAACGTAAAAAATCTTTATGAAAATTTGTAAGTGGACAATTGATAGTTTAATTCATTAGTTGTTTAAGAGCTACTCACGATAATATTTCATAAAAAAAGTACTATTCTTTTTTAATAACTATTTCTCAAAGACAAGTGTAAAAAAGCACAGCACTTTTGAAATCCATATTAGTGCGGAATTTGATTACAAGGATGAAACATCTATTTCCCGTAATTTCCATTGGAGAAGCTCCACGTAAGTAAAAAGTAGACAGTAAGTAAGATTATCATTAGGAACAATTACGCACTTTTAATTAAACTAATGATGGGTTATATATAGACATGTTTGTATGTGTGTTATATGGTTTGTATATATATACCTGCTAAACATGCGACTATTTTAGGATATGTGTTAAAAGTTATCTCAGAATCTTGAAAAACGTGTATCTTCCAAAATATAAGTCAAAAAGCTTTTTTTTTTTTTTTTTTCTCACGAGACTGTAATGTGAATTTGACAAAAAGAAAAGAAAAGGGAATCGCTGTTTTGCTCACGTTGTCCGTCTTTCAATCAATTTTTCAGACCAAACATTAAAAAGGAAAAATTAAAAAAATGAGAAAGGTTTTTCTCTTGTGTGGGCAAGAGAGTAAAATTCAATGATGCCAAATTCAATGAGCATGAAACAAGACCATTTTTGTAGAGTTCTCTTGTACCGTGGGATGATTCAATGTAAGATTACTCAAAAACTTTGTTATATTTGACATTTGAGTAAAGAAACCATGGATAAAAAAAAACTTGGTTACAATAATTTAGCTTAACCCGTGGAAGAATCTTAAGCTAACAAAGACCAATAAACTCATGGATTCTTTCGAGTTAGTAACAAATTTCAAAAGATAAATCTTTAATGTATAAAACATAATCAAGTAATATTTAATGGTGACAAAACAAGTTATCTAACAAAAAATCTAGCAAACCCATAAACCATAAAGAAAACAACACCTAGCCACATAAACCTTAAAACATTGGACAAATACCCAGCAGCAAAGCTCAATATGCTCTCTCCAACGGACACCTCTCTTCTTGAAGAAGTTCCATTACAATTCCCTTCAACAACGACATGGTTTGGTTCCTCGTACACCAAACTTAAACCACAATTCACAATCTCACCTGCTCCATGTCTCACTGTAAATTCGATTGAAGCCTCAGTAGGAACATATTTATGATGTTCTTGCGACTTCAATGACCCTTCTAGATGTTTTGTTATGTGTGAGGAACTGGTGTAACCTATAAACACATGGTCCGAATCAATCTTCCGTGATTCGATCCAACCTCCACCAAGAGTGCAACTGAAACGTATACATGTCTCAACCTCGTTTTTGAACTCACAAGTGCAATCTATTGAGAAACGGTTGATTTCATCCCGGGGGAATTTGACAACAGCGCATAAAACTAATGTTGAAAGCCCGTTGTCACACCAATGTGGCGGGAACTTAAGCTTTAGTTTGGATCCGAATGTTTGATGGTTGAACCATGAAGGTACTTCACTTCCTGGAAAACAAGTGATGAGCAAAGCTTCTGAAACAGTTCCCTGCAAAAATAACACAAAACAGAAAATATCATAAACTGCTTAGGAGATTCAATTAGATAGAGTAAGGAATGAGACCTCTTTATAGCATCTAAGTGCATCTAGCTGGCATTTCCTTTGAGCATACAATGTGATGCTATTCTTTGCAACTTGTTCCAGTTTGTTGCAGTTGGTGAAAATGAATTTAGACCGAACCTGCTCCATAAGCTTGGGAAGGGCCATGGGGGAGGCAACTGTTTTCAGTTTCTCGCAGCCATGTGCATCTAAAATCTCTAGATTTGGTGGAAGCAATGAAATTGATGTGAGATTCTTGCAGTACTTCAGGTCAAGCCATTTCAGATGATATAGCTGACTGATGTCGATTTGCAGATTGCTGATCATACCATTCCTACTTAAGCATAGACGTCGCAATGAGGATAGGCCTTTCACACCACGTCTTAATTCGCGTAGATCTTCCACTTTTGAGCTATTGTACTGCAATATCTTTGGGATTTCTTTAATTTCTGTCCCGTCCAGCAATAAAATCTGCAAACATTTCATGTTTTCAATGGGAACTGGAAAAGTCTTGAGGGTTGAACAACCAGATAGCACCAGTTCTTGCAGAGCTTTCAGCCTCCCCAGGCATTGTGGAACTGCCCTCAACATTTTGCAGTCTTTCAAGTTCAATACAATCAGTCTCTGGAGCTTCACCATGTTTGGAGGAAGTTGAACAATTGCAGTTCCATCTAAGTATAGAGTTTCTATATTATCTGAAATCACCTGGAATTCCTCAAGGCTTGAGCAGTTGGTAAGGATGAGAGTTTTCATAGAGATCAGATTCATATGCGGAAGAACCCGGAGACTCGTGCATCCTCTCATGTTGAGGAAAACAAGGTTCTCCAAACTTTTCATCTCACTAGGCAACTCCTCCAAACTCGTGCAGCCTTCAAGATTCAATCTTTGGAGACTTTTAGCATTTAGCAACCCTGTTAGATTACATAACTTGCTTGAGTGGCTAAGATCAACCCACTTCAACTTTGGTGTATCCTGCCATGAACATACAGAAGGAAAATTAATCAAGTATATAATCTAGTAAGCTAATAAACCATAACAGTGAAACGAACTTAAATAGAGACACACCTTAAGACCCTCCCAGACCTCTTCAATCTCGCTGTAAGGCAGGTTAAGGTCGGTAAGATTCTTGGGGTTGAAGTCTTTTGGAAGTTTCTCCAAAGGGAATTTTAGCCAATAAAGATATCGTACTTCATCCAAAGAAAACTCAACTCCCTCAGGGAAGTTTATTTTGCAGTCAGCTTCGCCTTCCTGATGACAACGAGAACTATAGAATTTGAGGTACCTAAGATTACGCATCTCAGTGAAGGTACATTTTTCCAAAGGAAGTTCCTTCTTCAGTTCAAACATGTCGAGAAAAATACCTCTCACACTGTCTGCTCCCTGCTTAACCAGTTAACGGCAATAGGTTATCACATCGAAATCTCTTAAAAAGTAGAGTGTTAAGTGAGCTTTTGATGTATCATGAAAGAGATTTTTAAATTTTGCTACACTCAGATATCAAACAGTTTGAAGGTTTATCTTACCGCTCTTTTCTTCAGCGCACCAACAATGAGTATATGGTTCCACAGCCTACGCAACCCTTGTGATTGTGAACCAAGTTCCTTGCCAAATGTATACAGTAAATCATGCATCTCCATTCGCCCGCCAGAAATGTTTATCAAGAATTTACTGGCAAGATCCTTTATTTCACTCACACCATCAATGGGCTCAGTGTCACAAGACTCCACTAAACACCTCACGTAATAATCATCCCCTGATCTAAAGAAACACGCGACATCGAGAAACACATCTTTTTGAAGCTGACCTAGTCCATCATAGCTAATCCGCAAGACATCTTGTAACTTCTTAATGGGACTTTCTGCCAACTCGCGAAGCTTATCTGTCCAGTATTTCTCTTTTTTTCCACTAAGCTCGACACCCAATATCTTGAGAACTAATGGGTTTCCTTTGGCATAATCCACAAACAATCTAGAAAGATTAATGAAATTACCCTCCGGAGTAGGAAGTTTAAAATTAAAGGCAAAATGGCTGAAGTAGTCAAAGCTGTCTCTGCCAGTCAATCTTTGGACCTCATATGTGTCATCGACCATCCCCTCGATCACTGAGATGTCGCTTGTCGTGAAAATAATTCTGCTACCTATCTTAATCCAGTCATCTTCCTCGAGAAGATCCTTGATCTGTTTCTTGTCACTCACATTATCAAGAACAATAAGAGATTTCATACTGAGCAGGTGTGCCTTCAAGGATTTAGGCGACATGTCAGCGACTTTTTGCTTCAAGTCAACTTCCTTCAACAACTCCGTCATGAGAATGTTCCTCATTTGCCGTTTAGTGTAGCGTTTCGACATTTGACTGACATCATGAAGAAAGGCACGGCTTAGGAACCCGCCTTGCCAATTTTCATACAACATACTCGTCAGGGTGGTCTTACCAATACCCGGCATCCCAACAACACCAATAATAAGCGTACTCTTGCACTCAAAATCTAACTTCTCTTCCAACTGCTGAAGTCGTGTGTTGATGCCAAACAGATGAGGAAGCGAGTCAGGAGCAGCTTCAGGCGTTTCTCCTTCTCCTGCAGAAGGGTCGTCAATGGGGACTTCTCTTTTCAGATCCGTCGAAACATTAGATAGCACTTCTATGACTTGCCTTACAATTTTCTCAACGTATTCACCTTCATTGCTGCAAGGCAAGTGAAAAGAACCAATCAGAAACTTTAATAGCCTAACAAAGTTATGTCAGTTGGCAATCAAGGATTAGGTACCTCATTTCGCCTAACGTGAAGCCCATCTTGTTTGTGACAACCTTTAAAGCTTCTTTCCACTTATCGAGCTTTTCACCATTACATGTCTTAACCAATTCCCAAAACTTGTCACCAAAGACTCCCTTTAGATTTTTCACATCGTCTGTTTCCACCTTGTAGAAGATGGGAATTACAACAAGTTTGCCCAAGTCAACGCACTCCTTTATTTTCACCAGCTCGTCTAAACACCAATTTGACTCCGTATACATGCTCGAGAAGATCGCGAGCGCGATCCTCGACTCATCAATTCTGGAAAAGAGGATGCTGAGATCATTACCTCTAGTTTCATCTTCGTCGATAAAGGCGTTGATTCCATCCCTTTTCAAGGCCTTCTCTAGATGGCTGACAAAACCCTTCCGCAATTGCTTCCCTCGAAAATTCATGAAAACTTGATGCTGCGGAGGTAGTTCGACGGAGAAAGTAGCGGAGGCCAACATGATCGATGGGTCTAATGAACGACAACAGCAACTATGGAATATGGATGTCTCGGCAATGAACGACAACAGCATCTACTTCTCCATATGGGGCTCTACTACTCCGAATGGGCTTTTATTCTCTAAATGGATTTACTACTTTAAGGGGCTTTTAAATTATGGGTTCATTTTTGAAAAAAATTATGGGTTCATTTATTTTCTTCGATAAGGGTACTAACTAGTATGGGTTGTAATTTATAAAACACTTTAAGCTTCGGCCATTTAATTTTATGCAACAAATGAACCCAAAAAAAACATGATCGATGGGTCAGAGTCAGTCAGACCGATTTGTAGAGAGAGGCAACAAAGGAGGAGGGATTGTTTCGCGTTGAGATTTTGTGTATTTGTATGTTATGACCCGGAATGTGTTGGAAACGGATCTTTGGTTAATCAAGTGTAAGAGAAATTGGAAGAAAAAGTTGAAAGAAGAGTAGAAGAAGAATCGTGAAAGAAGAGAGAGAAGAGAAGTCGTAAGGTGGAAGAATTTCGAAAAGACTTTGGGTCATGTTGCTTGGTGTTGGTAAAATTAGATAATTATGAAGTACAATAAAACCTCTATCAATTAATAACCTCTCTAAATTAATAAATTTTTCCGGTCCCGAGTTAGGACCAGTGTAAAATAATACATAAATCGATAAATTAATAAGATAATAACTTTTTTGAAAATCACATGTAAACATTTGGTCTCATCTATATTATAAATTAATAATTGTATTAACTTATCAATATACTAGTATTCCCACCCGTACTACGTACGGGATAAATAATTTGATTAACAAATTTTAAATAATTTTACCACACAATATTAACAAATTTAAACAAAAATTTTGTTTCATGAGAAATACTGAAGCTACTCTGACAAATAAATTTATTTTGCTCAAAAATAAATATGATAATACATTTATAGAAAACTATACAGAAGCAGCGTTTCCATTTTTTTTTATTTTATTGTCATACGTGATAAATTGTTTAGAGAAAGATAATAGCCAAAATAATGCATTGCAAATTAGTGGAAGTTTGTATAGTTTTGTTTTTGCGAACTTGAGAATTTCATCACTAATATAACTTAATTCTTAGAAGCACAAATATGACAAACAACTTAGAGAAAAACTTTGGAATGAAAAATTCAGAATTAACCAAAACAATGAACTTGAGTGCTAAAAACTTTATTTTTATTTTACTGGATTTGAACAATCCTTGATTGCAAACTTATATACAAAAATGTCATTCCCTATGTCAACCTGCACTTATGTGATGAATACGTGATCGATAGATATATATGCAGTTACAACATGATTTGTTTATTTAAAATAACTGAACATGAAATCATTTTTTGGCTATCTTTGGGCTGATTGTGTTTTACTCACTTTGTAAGCCGACAACAAAAGAATACAATTTGTAATTAGTAGAAAAGTCAGAGAATATGAGAATAAAAGGGCAATAATTAGTACCAACGTATGTGTCTTTGAGCAAGGTGTCGTAGTGTCTCATTCTCATGTATGTGTCACAGACCCAACATTTCTCTTGATGCACAATGGATTTCCATCAGAAGTATTCAAGTAATCCTTGTGGGTTTAAACGTCATCTTTGGTGCTGTTACCATTGCTTTCAGTGAAAGAATCCTTTCTAATATGATATCGTTGGACTGGTAAAAAATTAAGATTATATAAAAGAATGCATAGACATGAAATGCAAAGCTAAGACAGATGATACCTTTTATTAACCATCAACTTTTTTATTCTTATTTACTTGCATTTATGTAGCCTCTAAGTCTAAGCCTTCTTCTTGGTTTCCTACTCCATATTTATGGAGACTTTTTGTTGGATTTTATAGTCACCTTCTTAATCGTTGCTCTCTACAAAATTTCAAAAATAACAAACAAAGAAATGCAGAATTAGTTTATTTTATCAACTGATTGTAGACCAAATTTATGCACACAAAAGTGTCATAATTCGATTTCTTCCAATTCTTAGTAGTGAAGAATCGTACCATTTTGCCACCGTCTTTTCCTCACGTAGCTTAAGTCTTTGCTCTATGCTTCTTGACTTCTTTCTTGGTATCCATCCAGTCTCACTCCCTTTGACCTTATAACCTCCACAAAAAAATACCTAGCAATAGTTGCTTTTCCTTTGTTCGGGATCTCCAAATATACTGATTTTCATGGAACATAGATCGAATCCAATCTCCAGTGGATGTACTCGTATACCGGGAGTGGGTGGCGTAGGAACTTGTCGCTGACGACTATACAGTGGGAATTGGAGGAGGCTCATTTTGTGAGAGAATCGCAGACAGAGCAGACCGAGACATATATATCTCGGGAAATATAAGCGACAGCTCCACTGCATAACAGTCGCCGTGAGAAGAAACGGTTATGAGGCGTTGGGGAGAGAGTTTAAGGAATCAAAATTTCAAAGAGCAAAAATAAGAGTTTGAGTTCCTCGTGAAATAAATATGTGGAGGACGATAAACGGTTTCAACGACTTTGAGATCGTGAAGATGTGGTGAGGTGCGAGACAAATTAGGGATTTTCAAAATTACGTAGCCCACAAAAAGAGGAGTAGTTTTGGCAAGTTTTTGTTTGGTTGGTTAGTTATAATGATTAATTTTTTCTCCCCACGTTCTAATTTTTTTTGAATTGTTTTTTTTATGTAAATTAAAATATTGGTGATGGGCTTTAAAAAAATTTTACGAAGCCCAGAACTGTAAAACAACTATTTTGTCATATTTCGTTTTTTCTTTTTTTTTCTCCCCACGTTCTAATTTTTTTTTTAATTGTTTTTTTTTGTAAATTAAAATATTGGTGATGGGCTTTATTCTTTACAGAAGTCCAGATTTTTTGGGAAAATTCCTAAAAAAAACCTCAACTATTTAATATTTGCCAGAAAAAAACCTGAACATTTTTTGATGTCGGAAAAAAACCCCAACTAATTTACCCCTGACAAAAAAACACGAACTATTTTTTTCTTCCAATTTCCTCTCGTCTCCGTTACGGCCGTTAACGCCGTCGTTGACGCCATTACTATTTTTAGAAAAATTCCTTAAAAAAACCTAAGTTATTTAATTTTGCCAGCAAAATACCTGAATTATTTTTTTGTTGCCAGAAAAATACACAGATCAAGATTTTTCTCTTTTTCTTTTATTTCATTAACAATGTAAGGTAGTTAGACCTCATAACTTTATATGTTCTCTTGAACCTCATACAAATTCTCGCTACATTTATATTAATCGATTTTTCAATTTTCCAATTAGAACAAATCTCTCAATTACATTAGTTGATTCCCTAATTTTTTAACTAGAACAAAAAAAAACACAATTAGATTAGTCGTTTTTTTTAGCGTTGAGTTGGTTTGATTAAGCTAGCTTTACCTTCAATTTTGGTGGATTTTGCTTGATTGGAGTATTTTTTTTTGCGATTTATGTAGAGAATTTTTGAAGATCTACCAAGATTTTTGGGGCTCTTATGAAATTTAGTGTTCTATTGTTGATGATGTCCCAAAATTTGTAAAGTCTGAATAGATCTAAAAACAAATCTAATTTAAAAATTTAAAAATCGACTAATCTATTTGTATATTTTTGTTCTTAAATTTAATTGTCCTAAGTAATAGTGAAAAATGAAAACTTTTATGAGGTTCAAGATAACACATAAAACTTATGAGCTCTTACCATCTTACATTGTTGATGGAAGACAAAAAGAAAAGAAAAGAAAAATGTTGATCTATGTATTTTTCTGGCAACGAACAAATAATTCGGGTAGTTTTCTGGCAAACTTAAATAACTTGGGGTTTTTTCAAGAATTTTCCCAAAAAATAGTAACGGCGTCAACAACGGTGTTAACGCCCGTAACGGAGACGAGAGGAAATTGGAAAAATAAAATAGTTCGTGTTTTTTTTGTCTGCGATAAATTAGTTGGTGTTTTTTTCCGACATCGAAAAAAATTCAGGTTTTTTTCTGACAAATATTAAATAGTTGGGTTTTTTTTTAGGAATTTTCCCGATTTTTGTGTTGACAAATTTCGTTTTATTATGTTTTTGGCTTTTTCCCACGTTTCTTTTTTTTGGTAATTATTTTTATGGAAATTAATTTATGAAAGAGAATCCTATGTGTCAAAATTTTAGTGGCCAAGTAACTTGTGCTTTATATGATAAAGGATATATATATATATATGTATATTTAACTTAATATATATATATGATATAAATTTATATATGTCATATATGAATTACTATGATATATATTTAAAATATTATATGTAAATTTTTTAATGAAATATGACTCTATTATTCGAAATTTTTTATGTTATTTTTTAAACTTAATAATCGCTTTTATACTTGCAATTGGTTTTAAAAAATTTATTGTTATAAAGAAAAAAATTATTTTTAGATAGAAAGTATTTTTTAAAAATTATAAAATTATTAAAATCTCTTTTTTTTTGTCATCCACTTTTAATTAGAAATCAAAAGAGCCAATCCTGAGGGATATTGTTTACATATGTGATATGATGCGGTTCGGTACGAACTTTTCGTGCCAAATTATCTGCTTTTACATTTGCACTACGAGAAATTAAAGATAGAGAGAAATTTGAGAATTCCTCCTTGTCACTCTGTAACTCCTCTAAATACGCTGAAAATGCCGGGCATTCGGTTGGAGAAGACACCATCTTCACCAGGTATGAACAGTCTGTGAAAAAAACTACATCTTGGTTGTCGGCACCTATCATGCACTTCATCGCCCAAAGAAGAGCTTCCACCTCGGTATGTAAGGGAGAGAGACTTCTACGCAGGTTGGCAGCTCCCATGGTTGGTGCCTCTCCATTTGCTGATGTACATACCCAACCTGTACCTGAGAACTTATCACTTTCTTTATTAAAATCTCTTTATAAATTAATAATTATTAATTTATCGAAAAATTAATACCTTTCTAAATTAATAAAATTTCATGGTTCTAATATTATTAATTTATGGGAGACTCACAAAAATGCCCCTTTTTCAATACTCTTTTTCAAAAATGCCCCCTTTGGCTGTCCATTTTTAAAAATACCCATTTTTATGTACAAAATGACTAAATTACCCTTCTTTTAATAAAAGATATCACAAATATATAAGGAAATATAAAAAAATTAGGTCCACAAAATACAAAATATTTTTTGGCGGGAAAAGTGATCCCGTAATTTTTCCCGCCAAAACACTTGTAAAAACTTGTAAAACCTTTAAAATACCTTGTAAAATTTTCCCGTAAAATTTTTTCCCGCCAAAAAAATTTCCCGCCAAAAATTTTTTTTTGTGGGAAAAGTGATTCCGCAATTTTTTTGGCGTTAAATTTTTGGCGGGAAAAATTTACAAGGTATTTTAAAGGTTTTTTACAGGGTATTTATAAGGTTTTACAATGTATTTTAAAAGGTTTTACAACGTATTTATAAGGTATTTATAAGATATTATAAGATTTTACAAGCTATTTTATAAGGTTTTAC